GTAGGATTATCATCCTTCAAGAGTACTAACTCTTGTATACCAACCATTTGCGTTTGTAACAATCTTGATTCTCGCATACCACGAATCGAAAATCAATACCCGAAAACGTAACCTTTTCGGTTACATTCTATACACAGTATCAACATTCTTGCTCATAGTCGTAAGTTTTTATTTAAGTCGTAGCATTAATCTTTCTTATGAAATGTTTGATTGTTGGCTCAAGACACTAAAGAAACTCTAAAAACAGTTGGATTTGGCAACAAAAGGACATGGTGGAATCGGACCTTATCTCGGTTTATGCGCAGTCGTTGCTTCGTTTGGTCTCGCGGATGCTACCGTTCAAGGAGGAATGATTGGTGATTTATCTTTGATGTGTCCTGAATTCATCCAGGTTTTAATCAAGTTTAACAGATTCGAGATATCGGTTTAGATTGACCGGTTAAGAATAACCGGTTTTTTACTAAACTAGACATCTTCTTGCTTCTTTGTAGTCATTTATGGGTGGTTTGGCTGTCTCTGGTGCTCTAACCTCTGCACTTAGGCTAATAACTAAAGCAGCAGTTGATAAGTCAAACGACGGTCAACGAAAAGGAGCAAGTGAGTTTAACATTTTTCGAAGATATCAAACTCCAATCATGAAGTGTTTAAAAGATTTATGTCTTTCTTGTTTTGTCTTTCTGCAGTGATATTCTTAGCAATCTCCACATTCATAGAGTTCCTCTGCGTGATACTATACGCTTATGTATTCCCAAAACTCCCCATTGTTAAGTATTACCGAAGAAAAGCCGCTTCCGAAGGATCCAAAACCGTTTCTGCTGATCTTGCTGCTGCTGGTATCCAAAATCAATCAGATTCGGTAACTCCAGATTCCTATCCCTTTCTTGGTGTCTTTTAAAAAAAATCTTGTTTTCTTGTTTCTTTCACTCTTAAAACATTGTTTTAGCTTCTTGATTCTTCTATACAGACTGATGATGATTCCAAGATGCTAAGGCTAAACAACAGAGAGCTATTGCTTCAAAACATAGACTATGCAGTGAATCTATTCCTCATCTACGTTTTGACATTATCCATCTTTCCCGGGTTCTTATATGAGAACACGGGACAACACGGGCTAGGCGATTGGTACGCGCTTGTCCTAGTAGCGATGTATAATTGTTGGGATTTGGTGGGAAGGTACACGCCGCTGGTGAAATGGCTAAAGATTGAGAATAGAAAAGGACTTACGATTGCGGTTTTGTCCCGTTTTCTCCTCATTCCGGCGTTCTACTTCACCGCGAAATATGGTGATCAAGGATGGATGATTATGCTTGTTTCTGTTTTGGGATTGACTAATGGACATCTCACTGTTTGCATTCTTACCACAGCTCCAAAAGGCTACAAGGTAAATCTATTCTAAACCTTTTCTTGAATAGAGATTACATATTTGATTGTTTCTTTGGGTATATAAACCAAAGCACATTTTTTTGGTAAAAGATCATTTGAAAAATACATAAACTTTACATTTCTTCTAATTCTGTTTATGTTTAGGGTCCGGAGCAAAATGCGTTAGGGAATTTGCTGGTGATATTTTTGTTAGGAGGAATATTTGCAGGAGTTGCTTTGGATTGGTTGTGGCTTATTGGTAAGAAGAATGCCTTTTGATTACTCATCTTCAATGATTCACTAATTAATCTGCTTTCTACTTATTCCCAAAAAAAAAAAAAAGGATTATTCTTTGCTTGTAATCTCTGTAAGTGTTCAATCTGTCATTTAGAAAGAAAAAATGTAAAAATTATATTTTTACATCAGTCTCACCACATACGTTTTACAACAAGTTACATCAATTGGTTCTTCAATAATATTCACTTTTGGGTTTTTCATTTTATTTTTATTTTCTTACAAATGAATCTAACTTTGAGTTTTTCTTTTGCAAACAAAGCTATGTTGCTTCACAATGTCGACTATACAAAATAACAAATCAATCTGTTGAATTTTTAAGTATTCTTAAAAAACAAAATTTCATTTTTTGCTTGTAGTTTAAGTTACCCTTTCACCAAAAGTGTACTAATAATTGCGATCAATATTGAGGGTGCTAGTCATATTATATGTTTCTTCTTATCGGATTTACAGTACAAATTATAACTTCACTAAAATATCATTCAAACTCAAATTTCGAATTCGACATTTCAGAGTGTTTACTATGATTTGAGGCCACTACAATGGTGTGATGTTCTCTTCTGAACAATTGCTTCTAGATAACATGACTTATATTAGAATATACACTCTGTTCGTTTCCAAAAAGTTATCGATTTATAATAATTTTTCTGTTTTAAGAATAACTAGGATTTCAATGTAATTTTTAATAGAATGTAAACTAGACCAAAAGTGCAATAGTTAACTTATTTTTGTAGATACATGATAAAATTTAGCATGGTAACAACAACAACAAAAAAACAAAATGATGAAACAGAGAAGATGATGAAAGGGGAATTGTGCAATTTTCTTTCTTCTAAGAAATTCTTTGTCAATAAGAACAAAAAAAAAAAGAGAGGAGAAGAACTGTTATGACGTTAAAAAAACAAAATAAGAAGAATTATTACATATTTGATAAATAATCTTATCTTACCGAAATGAAAACTGAAATCTGTTGGTGAATTTTAATCGAAAGAGAGAGTCATACATACCTCTTATACAAGTGATCCTGGAAATTTGAAAAACATAATTGAGCGCAACGCTGGTGTAAGTTGCTTTAGTCCATGCAACAATGGACAAAAGAAAAGTAAATTACATCAACGCTGCACTCAATGATGTTTATTCAAACCCAGGGAGAAAAAAAATGTATCTTCTTGCTCTTTCCTATGATCATGAAAATGAGCAACAAACATAATTTATAAAGTCATTGTGTGTTTGGTTTGTAAGCAGTACAATGCTTGCTTGTACTACTGTGTGTACGATTTAGGAAACGTACTCGTAGATCGTATATTTTGGGGTTTGAAAATTGTTTTTGTATGTTAAAACTATATTTTTTTCTTTTGTTTAAAGTTTAGTTAAAACAGAACATTCTTGTGTTAACTAAAATTTAGAATAATTCAAGTTTGTGTACATTAGTAAAACGTAGTGTTCGTGTCGTGTGTGTACTGCACAATAGCAAAACACCAAACTTTTGTGTACTATCTTCACTACCACAGTACCACGACGACGACGTTTATTTGTTAGACTCCCTTCTTTTTGGGACTAATCATAAGTAGCTTTACTTTGGTCAGTTGGTGCATCCCAATCAAATATGTACATCCCCGGGTCCATAACTTAAACATTTGTCTTTCTCTCACAGTCTCACCAAACAAAAATCAAATTAGGGTACTAAAAAAACACAAGCTTTTGGAATGGTGAAGAACTCGCCTCTAATCCAACTGTCCAAAACCTACTTAGTGATCGGAAAAAGTTAATTTAGTCATTTTTTGGTTGGTGGCGGTATTTGAAGTCATAATCTGGAAAACTTTATCCATTTGAATGACCTACACCAGTTAAACTATCAACACTAGATAATTCAAAAAAGTATATAGTATCCATGTATTCGACTATTTTTGTAGTTCATACAATTATACGGGTTTTTTTATTTCTTTTTAATGAGGTAAACATGAATAAAAATCAAATTTCTTTGTTTTTGATTTGACACATTTCGATGCCGATTTAGTTTTGCCTTTTAACAAAACTAAAATAAAGTTGAATGTTAAGTTATTTACGATTGTGATTAGGATTTTGCTAGTTAAATCAAATTGGGGATCTTTAGACGAACATTCAAATTATCTGATATATTGTTGATGTATTTCTAAAAATTATGACGTTGTTGAGTTGAGAAAGTTGAAAACTTGAAATGAAAAGCAATCGAAGAATCCGTTGACTTAAATACAAAGGTAAGCGAAGAAACTATATGGTAAGATTCAAAAAAAAAAAACTATATGGTGATTAATGACACTAATGAAGTAATGATTGTGCTATCGCTCACTCTGACGAATACAATGACGTACTGTCCTGCGTTTCTGACCACAATAATAGCCCATGTGATCATAGAAGCTTCTAATTACCTTATTGATAAAATATCAAACATATAAAGTCCACTTTCTTTCGGTTTTAGCGACATTAATTGGTTCTTAACCAGTTTTATTATTATTACATGCGCTCTTTCTACCCGTTATGCACTCTTTCCGCGTCAATCATAAAAATTTGTAACTATTCATTCCGACAATCAATAATAAGCTCTAGACAAAGGATATTCGCCTTAATACGTTTTTCT